AATATCCAGATGTCATGACATCAAGCTGCCAAATAGGGTTGACAGTTACTGAGTGTAATCTCTTACATGTTACTGTATTTCTGAAGAAGTAATAATATTGACTACTTTTACCATATTATTCAGAATGTGACCTTCCTTCCCAAATTAGAACTCATTAGTCACCTTTTTATTCATTATTCCAGTCATGTTGATGATTAGTATTTATTATAGGTCTAAATTCTGCTTCAAATTGATGAGTTTCTTTTCTTGGTACAAAAGGCACATAACTTTAAAAACAATGATAATCTGTGACTCCTTTGGAAAAACACACTAAAACAAACCTCTCAGGTTGGGCATCATTAAGCCAGTTTCTCAAGGATGTCAGCACCCTGCCATTAGTGCTAAGTATGACTAATTAGCAGTGGAAATAAGAATTGTGGTGTGTTTAAAAAAAAAAAAATTGGGTAAGAAACATGGTTTACTTGAGCACACAAAGGCTTTTATTCCTTTTCCGGAGGAGCTGAAAGATTTCTTCACTATGTGTGGATGAATCCATATCAGCTAAACTGGAAGAATTCCTCATATTGAATTTGACAATGAGGTTGACGAAAGGTATTTTGGTGTATACATGAGTTTCCTTGAATATTAGACTCTTTGTATTCATCCATCGAAAACTGGAGGATATTTGTACTGGCGTTGATGAAGAATTGCAATTTAATCATTCATTTCCTGGAGAGCTCCCAGAATTGTTTGTAAATAGTTGCAAATTTGAAGTCAAGGCTGCAGTAATCAAAGATGTATGCCTGTTGCAGAGTGTGGATTGCTGATCTAAGCTGGGCTTTCTCTGCTCTGGAATACTTAGGCCAGAACCTAAGAATGGTTTGGCAGGGGTCACAAATCCAAAAATCCCAGATTACTCATCCATTCCACATTTGAAAAGTAGTTTTACAGTTATCTGTTTCTGTAAAAAAAATTATCTGATTACATGTAAAATAATGGAACACAATAATAAGTTAACAACCCTACAGCCAACATTGTAAATGGAACCCCTCGTGAATCGCATGGGCACATGCTGAAGGGTAGAAGGCTTCTTTTTGTATAACTTAACCTGCTGGACCCTTTAACCATATATTAGGTGATGTGATTAAAATATGAACAATGCAAACATTAAGCAAGAACATTTTTCATGCAGAAGTGCTGCATAACTGCTAAGTTCCAAAGTCTCAAAATTCTGGCAGAAGAAATTGTGCTATTGTCCATCTTTACTCTCAGATGTTCTCATCTTGCAGAGTAAAGTTTACAAACTTGCTCTCCTCTCAGGACTTATGCTCAAATTTGTATATGCTTTGCCCCAAAGATTAAAGTCTTTCTTACACACTAGAAGGAAATCTTAAAAAAAAATCCACAAAGAGTTGATGAAGCTCTGCACCAGAAGGATCCAGTTCCAAAATCTTACGTTTATATATGCCACCATCAAGAATGTGTAAAATAAATATTTGAAACACATTTGAAAATTGACTGGGGTAGTGTAGTCTCTCTGCCTTTGTTCCCTTACCTAGAAAATGGGGATAACATTCTCTTTGTCTCCTGTATAAAGACCAGTGGTTCCCAAACTTTGTTCGCGGCTTGTTCAGGATAAGCCCCTGTCGGGCCGTGAGACTCTTTGTTTACCTGAGCGTCCACAGGTACGGCCACTCACAGCTCCCAGTGGCCGCGGTTCGCCGTTCCTGACCAAGAGTAGATAATGCCTCTATAGAATACAATTGTTGAGACACATTTATTTTTCACAGAAACTTTGTATAATTGTCTCATATGTTTCTTGTGGTATGATTTTTGTTTGTTAATAATTTGTATTTTTTACTAAAGGACAATTTTGTAAACTTGGAAGCTTTTCAACAGATACTTCCTTATTTAGTTTATTAAAATTCTACAAAACTTCATATTTCATTCCAAAATATTTAAATACAGCTGTGGCCCTGATCCTGCAATCTGATTCATGAGCATGCCCCCCACGTGGAGTCTCAAGGGTATGGGTTCCTGTAAATGGGTCAGATTGCATGATTGAGGCCTACTTCTGTAAAAACAGTGGCAAGGAAAACATGTCAGGTTGGAAGAGACATGAGGGAGGGAAAATTGATGTCAATAAGACTTGTGCTGCCAAGTCACTTAGGTGCTTTTGAAAATCTCGTCCATAGATGCCTAAGTATAGACTAGGGGAACCTTACTTTAAGTTTCTATTGTTGAAAATTTTGGCCACAATCATTAGTAGAAATGCCTAAGTTTAATAGGTAACAAGAGTTTTAGAGTGCTTGGGTGAGCCTAGACATTGGGTTATATTACCTCTTACCAGAAAGTGGAGATAGGAAATTCAAAGTAACTTTTACCCCCATAAGAGAGCCAATAACAGTTGAGCAATCAGGTCATTGCTGTTAAACAGAGCAAAGATCAGGTTTCTTTTCCTTTCTTCTTTCTTTGTAAGACTATCTTGACAGTTTTAGCATTCATTGCTACCTTTTGAGGTAGGAATCACCCTGTGAGCTTATCCATCCAGATTCTAGGTTCTCTGTTTCTTTTAAAAACACAGGCATTTGGGCCTTGGTTACGGAGTTTTACAGAGATCTCCTATGTCTTCCCTACTTAAATCACAAGAAAATGACTTGTCCAGGCAATGCAGAAAGAAAAACGAAATGCAACAGATGTTGGCTGCAACTTTATTATATTAACATACCTGGAAATACCCAACAATAAATTGCATAGTGCAGGTCTTCATTAATTCTTCTCTTAATCATGTCCATCTCTTTGGAAGGGCTGCCATCAGCTCTCCTGCTTCTCAACCTGGTCCCAGCCAGCCTGTTTCTAGGACCTAACAACCCTCCCCATGTATGAAGGTTAAGGGAGCCTGGAAAAATGGTGGGGTTGTTTCTCCACTCTACCAGATGTTAGCAGCCCCAAAGCACCTTTTTCTGGCAGCCTTAGGGGACGCCTCTTCCTAAATCCACTTCCAACTCCTGTTTATCAGGGAATCATATACCCTTTGTAATGAAAAGAACGAGGAGTACTTGTGGCACCTTAGAGACTAACAAATGTATTTGGGCATAAGCTTTCGAGGGCTAAAACCCACTTCATCAAATGCGTGGAGTGGAAAATACAGTAAGAAGATATATATATCTACACACACAGAACATGAAAAGATGGGGTTGCCATACCAACTCTAACGAGACAAATCAATTAAGGTGGGCTAATGAGTACTTGCACTGGACACCTACCAGACTTTCTACCTACATAATTGCGATATCTTGACCTGGTCTCCATATCTATCTCACCGTGTCCCTGACCTGTTTGGGGAAGGCAAAAAACCCACCCCACCTCTGCTAGTCTAGTGGTGAGGAAAAAATTCCTCCCCAGTCTTAAAAGAACAAAGGGGAGTAGGGAAAGTCCAAAGCAGATCATAAAACGTGGTCCTACTCTGACCCCATGGATAGGAGGAGGGTGCTGATGATTGGTGATTGATGGGAAAGAGTTTTGTCTGTAATGCATGGCATGTAAATATACTTTCCTCCTCCTGGTGCACATGATGGGCCAGAGGCCACTTCCTAGTCCCTCCTTGGCTCCACTCAGAGAAGTCTGTGTCCCTCCCTTTCTCTTTCCTTGTAATCCAGATGTAGTAGGGACCCTTAAAGGCACTCCATCCTGATCTTCCTGTTGCCTAGACAGTCGCTGCATTCAGTTGCGGTGAGGACATTAGGCTTGATGTGTGTCGCCTGTGGAGCTAACTGGCTCCTATGAGTTCCTGCCTTGCCTCCTTTCTAATAATTACTATTTTAAGCGCCTTAATTTAGAAGACAAACTCATGTCTTGCTTTAGTATGTTCTTTCTGTGTTCACCAAACAGAAAAAAATGTCATAGTTCATGTGTAGGCGCTAAAAAGATCTAAAAACTGTGTGTGTGAGACCCAATAAATCAGGAATCGGACTGTTAGTATGTAAAAAACCCCAAACCCAATCTTTCATGGCAAATAATGCTATATTATAATATTTTAAATTCCAAACTATAAATCAAATTTAAGATGAATGTAACATTCTTAACTTTCTGTCCACCATCCCAGGACAGGAAAACTTTTTGGGGGTGTGGGTGGGGGAGGGGGGACTGGGTGGAGGTTAGACAGGCTGGAAAGAGACACTGACACTTGGGACATGGTCTTCTGTGAATAATAAAGGTTTGCTCCCACAAGAAGATCTCAAATGTGACTTGAGAACAAGGGCATAACATTCCATTATGCAGATTTAGTATATTAAAATTGGGTACTGCATAACAGTACATTCTTTTGATGAGATGAGAAACTGCTCAATTTAAACTTCATTTCCACTAGAATATTTTCTCATGACAAGCAAAACTGTACCTAATCAAAGGAATCTAATTTAGAAATTGTGAAGTTATCTAGTCTTTACTCTTTCATGTTATTGACAATTGCTCTGAGTCATAAACACTAAGAATAATTAATTTATTCTTGTAATGTTTTTTTGAATAATCCAATGTTTTTTGGATACTGATGGTATCCAAACCCTGAAACTATGGAATAGTCATTTTTCTACATGTCATCACAGGATATTTGATGCGGTTTTGTTTTTTAAAAGCTGTGGACTAATCAAATTTGGTTCTGGTAGAATATTCAAAATATCCTCCTAAGCATTGAAATAACAATACAAGATATGTTCCAAGAGTTTGGCTAGAAATGTTTTACAGAAATCAGTTATACCTCAGATATGTAGCTACTGTATATTGTAACCAAACAAACTTATAAGATATGGTGAATTGCCTGCTGTTCCCAAACCGTGCACAAGAATTCTTTATAATAGCAGAATGGTACAGGCAGTGGAGCCCTTGTATAAGACATTTATTTTGTGTTTGTTTTGTTTCCTGTCTTGATAAAGATTCTTTCAAAAATGGTAATATTTTTAGCATGTTGAAAATCTGTCTCAGGCAACGTTAGTTTGTACTCATCTTTCTCTCTTGTGATGCAGGCAGCTATTGAAACTCTGGAACTTCAGGAGGAAACAAAAGAAGAATCTGATGAAGAGGAGGAGGAGGATGAAGAATCTGGCCGACTACGTTTCAAAACTGAACGAAAAGAAGGAACCATCATTAGGCTCTCAGACATAACGAGAGAGAGGAGAAACATTCCAGAAACTTTGGGTAAGATTCTGTGGCAATGGACTATAATAAATGACTATAATAAAAGAAAGGAAAAGATTGGATTACTTAAAACCCTATTAACCAATAAATGTTATCCTTAAGGTAAAAGAATGTAGTCTGCCATAGACTCTGCTTGTCTATATCCAAGCTGTTTGCAGCTTGTTTTCCTAGTAGCTTTAGTTCTCCTCCTCCTTCAGAATATCACAAAAAGTATATGCTTTTTCAAAAGCCAATTCAATGTATATTCATTGAAGTGTTTCAGATTCCTTAAACCTGGCTGTCCTTTAAACAGGGGTGCTGGAACAATTTTTATAGTGGGAGTGCTGTGAGCCATTGAACCAAACTGAAAATCCTGTATACAATGTAAACCACTTCAAATCGGGGGGGGGGGAGGGGCTGCAGCACCCGTAGTTCCAGCACCTATGCCTTTAAACAGCAGTTGGCTATACACTGGGAAAATTCCACTACTGTTTTAATATTTTTACCTTTTAAAAGACCCCCTCAGATTTTTGTGTGTGGTGTAAGGCTCACAGTTCAAGTAAACATCACACTAGTTGAAAGCAACTTGCTGTGGTACGTTGGCACACAGCATATATCCAGCTGCACTGACTGTATATTTGGCACGTGTTTCAGCATTGAAGTGGGAAAGCCATTATGTGCTCAATCCTAATAAGACTTTTTCATCAATTAGCTAATAAACTGTTGTGACGTTATGTGCGATTTCAGTGAAAAAATGATAAATTGATTTTCGGCTTCCCCTTATTTGCCCAGTTTTAGTCTGTCCAAATAAAATCACAGTGAGGTATCTTGGAGAGGGGTTCATTTCACCAAATCTTTTTATGCTCTGGATGCTGAAATATTTGATACTGTGATATAAAAAATCCCTTGTTCTGTTGGGGATCACTGAAGCTGCTGCTCATGTTGGATTTCAGATAATGGCAGCACTTTTAGTATATATTGAGGCCACAATCAATACCAGCATCTGATGTCAGAAGTGCTTGGTATTACTGGGGTTAAATGCTAAGACACAATGATCTAGAATCAAGACTGCCCAGATTCAAAATATGGCAGTCCATGATGACGATACAGATGCTGGAACACCTTTTGAAGAAGTATTTGCCATTGCGCAGTGCTCACAGTTCTGCAGAAACTAAGTATCAATTCAAACTGTGGAAAAAGGTTTGGATGTCTTCCTGAAGAGAGTCAAGGTATGAAGCAGCTAACTTGAGAAGGAATGGAGGTAGCTTATCAGATACCATTGGTCTATAAAGCATTGAGAGCAGATGGTGCTTGTAGATCTGTATGGCTGCTCTCATCAGATCTTCATAAAGACTTTCTGTAGGATGGGTGGAATATTTTTTGGAAGACTGCAGAGGCTATATTCACAAGAGCAAAGGGCACGATCCACTTTGTTTTCTCTGGTCTCTCTTCAGGCAAAAAAGGTGGCAAGGGAACGGCCTCAGCCTGGAGGTTAGCCTAGATAGCTAGTCTGAAGTCAATAATCAGGCTGCTTCTGCTTTCCTTCCAAAGAAAGCCAACGTGTCCTAAACCTCCAGGTTTTTTGAAGGGTCCCATAACAAATAGCTAGACTGCCAGTGCTTTCTTCAGAGAGCTTTTTTATGGGGGGAGAATTAAGAGCCTTTTTACCTTCAATAAACACTAGTTACTTAAGATCCAGCAAGGCAACAGATCTTGCTTCAGAGAGACTCCTCCAAATTGCCCTTCTTGAGATTCCGCTACAGTTCAACAGTAAGAGGAATAACGCTGCAAGAAATTTGATTCTTCTTGGCAAAAAGTCATTGAGTTCATGCTATTGAAAGAAGAAGGAAGGAGTTTTTATTCCAGAAATTTATTCACTCTGACAAATCCTGTCAGCAAGGACCGTGCTACAGATGTTGGCCTGATTGGCACAACAAAATTCATGGCATGTGATCCATGTCAAACCTCAGTGGATCATGAGATTTCGGTAGTTTCAAGTCAGGGGAAGACTCTTATTGAATCTGGGCAATGAATTAACTAATTAGCCATGCTTGTTTGGTATTTCGGGCAAAAATCTTTAATTAGGAAAAGACTTCCAATCCACATTGTTATAGAATGATGAATGCATCCTGACTAGGATGGGAGGAGCCTCTCCAGAGGGGCTTCACGTCCAGGCGCTCCAATAATAATGTATAAGGAGTCTAGAGATGAGGTGTGATACTGAACGCACTAAGTACCCTCAGATGTGTTTGCCTTATCTACACACAATGTGTCACTGGCTCAATTAAAGTGATTTTTTAAATGAAATTTGTTAAACTGATGTAAACCCTTGCATAGAATTGGTTTATAGTTACCTAGTATTAAGGTAAATGGCAGCTGTAAACAGATTTAAGTGTATCCAGGTGGTTTTGTAACAACTGTGAATGCTTAAGGAAAAAGCTTAAAGGGAAACAGTGCTTTTATATTACAGTTTTTATCAAGTTTTTGGGTTACTTGATATACCGCTCAGATACAAGCAAAGCAAGATAAAATGACTATCCAAATATGAACTAAAATAAATGGCATTTGGTTAGTTCTATTTTTGTATTTTTTGCCAGTTGCTTTTGTTAGAACAGTTTCTGTAAATGTGATTGGTTTAATTTTTGTGTTTGTTAATGAAAGGACATACAGTAAACTACAGTAGCCGTTAAACTAACAGCAATGCAAAATTTGTCATTTGCATATAACTATCAGCTCTGCTTTTGGGATTACTGTTAATAGATATTACTGATTTAAAAATGAAACTTTGTTGCATAGCTACATCTCTTTACTTTAAAATCTGGACATAGTTGAGAAAACACTTAAAGAGAAATTAACATTTCAGTTGAAGTTACAAACGTAATTTCCATCCTGTCACATTTTGGTGACCTTTTGTGACAGCTTGTCTCTATTGGAGGGAAGCATTCTTACTTGCTGATTAAAGATGTCATTTGAAACCATTTTATTACCAGGGGTAGTGAAATTAATCTTGACACTTAGAGCCACTAGAAAAATAATTGCTGATTCACTACATTAACTGTGTATGTGTATGAAAGAGAGAACTGTGTAGTCAAGATTAGAATGTGTGCTTGGAAAATAAATATATAAAATGTAGAAATTATTCTCTCATGAATGATGTTGAAACTTTTCCTAAATGTTTTTTTTAACAAAGAAAATGTAATAGGTGGTTTTGAAAAGATTTTAGGGAGACATGTTAAAGAAAGGATATAAAATAAGTTTCTGAGAATACTGAATTCATCCTTTAAATAAAGCTTTTTATGTACTCATTATTACCATGTAGAATTATTGACTGGCTGTATAGAGCTTACATTATGGATGGATGTATACAACAGACTTATTTTTCTTTAAGGAAAGAGCGGGAGATAATTACCTTATTTGTCCTGGTACAATCAAAAACCACCAGCATACTTCAAAGCAGCTCTGCTCCGCTCTCTTGCTCTTCCCAGGAACTCTTCTCTCTAGGCTTGATTTAAAAAAAACAAACAGTATGGCTTCCATGCTTATGGAAAGCCATACACAAAGCAGTTGGAACTATTAGTGATGCTGTACTGATGCTGATGTCAGCAAGAATATGCACAATGTAGTCTGTTTATGTTTGGTATAACATCTAACTTTGAAAATACTGAGGTTTTGGTCTGAAATCTCAATGTTTCATTAAACTTGTTGCCCTTTCATACACACTCATGCAGAAATGTGTAATGTAATAAGGTTACAAGTCTGAGTGCTCAAATCAGGAAATATGCAAAATGTCACCTAATTTAACCTTGTCCTATCACTAACGCATACATAGCACCCAGTTTCTCCCTCTGATACATCCATGGCACTCCTGTTGAAAACCATTCATGTTGTACATGTGTATATTAAACAGAATTATTCTCATGGTAATTTACAGTATGTTTATCAGCACTGTTCCAAAATATTCTGTGTATGCATAGAGGATGAATGAAGGATACTATGAGAACCTTCACTTTTGCATTATCTGACTTTTGAGTGTTTAAGGCTCTGAACCGCCACATCAATGTACAAATAGTGTACTTCTCCATTGTGTGGCGTCTTAGGCCAGACCAACACTACAGACTTCTATCAGTATAACTATGTCGCACTGGGGTGTGAATAATCCACCCCCCTGAGCAACATAATTCTACTGACCTAACCCCTTATAGATAGTGCTATGTCAGTGGGAGAGCTTCTCCCGCTGACATAGCTACCGCCTCTCGGGGAGATGGCTTAACTATGCCGACAGCAGAAGCTCTCCCATCTGCGCAGTAGCTGCAGCACTGTATGTGAAAACAGGCCTTTGCTGATTGCAGGGGGATACCATGCAGATGCACATTTGCAGGGCTGGGGCATAAAGTTGGAACCTCAAGTTGATTTCTTTGTTCTTTTAGGAAAGCTAGAGAATTTAAACACTGAATATCTCTCCTGACCTCATAACGTACTTCCACAGTCCCACAATCAAAAATTTGTTAAATGTTTCTAAACTGCAATGAAGTAAACAAAATCGTATCCAAATAATCACTGTCTTCATAGTACACGTGTAGCAGTGCCTGCTGTAGTTTGTTGCAGAACAGTAGCCATTATATAACCCTGTTATTTTACATTCATAATTTTATGGAACTGTATTTGTTGGCTGAAAAATTGAGCAAGTTGTCTGTGCTTATGTGACCTAAAATACATTTGACAGCTGTTATCGTTTTTTAGTTCAGTGAGTAGCTTCCTCTACAGTTTAGCCACCTCTCCTTTCCCTCAACTTAACCACATTTTTGGAGACCAACACAGCTGAAATTTGAACCTTGAAACATAGCATAGGCATTATCCTGGACACACAGGAAGAAAGATGAGAGACAAGGGATGTGGTTTTAACTAGATCAGAACTTCATTAACTCGTTTGGAAACTACCTGGCAATAACGTGTCCAGTTCAGTTTGTCCTTCCTTCCATAATCTAGTCTATCTGGTGGAAAGCTGACAGCAGCCCTTCAAACCTTTTCAACTGCTCCCAGCAACCCTTTCCTGGCTCCATCTTCTCATCAGCAACTGGCAACAGCTCTGTGCAAATGTATAATGAATGTTAGGGTGTCTGCAGTTTTTGCCACATTTTGTAATACTCCTCAAGTTCTAAACCCCTTTTTAAGGACCGCCTAAAACATTACGCCACTAGTTATCTTTTCTGTTGCAAATATACAGCCTTCACAATCGAAACACACACAAAGTATCTCCAGCCAAATAAGAATAGCAGCGGGTTCCTGTTTCTGCTCCTCCCACGCCTACACATGCATGCCTCAGTCAGCTGTGAACTTGAAAGCTTAATGAGATCACTTGTAAGTAAGTTTAAAACAGTGATTTAAGTAGCTTTAGTTATTACATCCCCTGCCATTTTTGTGGCTTTATCACATTCTTACTTTAAGATTTTTCTCCCTATGGTTGTGTGAAAGACCCATACAACATGGAAAAATGACTCAGTAGGAGCAGAGCAACTGATTTATACCCAGCATGCTTTGATACGCAAACTACACATTTTTCTCTCTAAACTTTCAATTTTAGGTATTATTTGTAATACCAGTTGAGAAAAATATTTCATACAGAAATGTGACTATCTTGATGCTATCCCTTTAAATTGTAACATTAAACATGGATTATTTCTTTTTATGGAAAAAAAGGATCTGTAAATTCATTTCCGCATACAGCAAATACATATTCTAATAGTGTTAAATTTGCACAGTTAACAAGATAAAGGGAAAAGTCAGTTTCAAAAGTTTCACCGTATTATTTATTAGAGATTTTCTAGTTATATTGCTTGTCACTAAATGGACCCCATTAAAATGTACAACATATAAAGTATCGCCTGGTGCATGCTGCTGATGAAACCTTCACTGTGTCCTAATATTTAGTACAAACTTTGTAGGTTAGTCCACACTTCTACTGTAATCTAGTGCCCTGATTCAAAGTTATCCCCTGACCCGGTTTGCCGTGGGTTTTAACTTAGTTCCAGGTACCATCTACTCTGCAACATTTAGCCTTGTTATAAATGAACTGGGGGCAACTGTTGTTACCAGGTTCTCAGTTGTAGATGGGCCCAAAATCTATAGTATGTTGTGTTTAGTCTTTGTTTGTCCCCTGTAAAGTTAATATGCAGGAAAATAAACTACATAAGAGTGTGTGTATCATTTAGTTCTTTCATATTTCTCAAAAATGGCATTAGCTGAATTTGTTCAAATATTCAAAAAAGATCTTTGGCATAAGACAAACGTACAGAACAGAAGGTGAAGCATTAGAAAACTATGGTTATGGTGGAAGACTCAGCATAACCTTTTACTATAGTGTTTCCTGCTGCTTCCTTTTCTGTATGTCTTTTCTGTGGATGAACAGAGAATTAAGTTACCAGTGCTGGCAGTCTAGCTCCTTTCACATAACAAACTTCTTAAACAACAAGCAATAAATGTGAGGCAGACTTCAATAGTAAAATAACATTTTCCTTCATGTTAGTTTCATTAACCTGCCACTACATGTTTACCTTTGCAGCAGATACAAATACACAAAAAGAAAAACATTGATTTTGCTTTAATGAAATGTTAACATGCCATTGCCACCTTAAGGTGATCAAAGAGCCTGCAAATTTTATCTTAGTTGTAGTGACACTTTCCTCTAGTTATAATGGTGTCCTTTCTAATCCTTACCGCAAATACCTAACATATGCATTTTTCCCATATAACAGAACTCTCAGCAGAAGCCAAAGCAGCGTTATTTGAATTTGAAGAAAGGGAAAGACAGCTTAAACAGGGACGCTACGGCTCAAGGAGAGGAGGGAGGAGAGGAGGTTCCATAATGTGTCATGGAATGGGAGAACAAAGAAGAGACAACAATGAAAGGGGAAGAATGAAGGATCACAGGCCTGCACTGCTGCCAACGCAGCCACCAACAGCGGTAACTAATGCACAGTATTTTCTTTATGGAATTGGTACTTTTAAGAAAATAATTATGGCAGTTATTACTCTGATTTGTAGAACTTTATGTAGCTCCTTGTCTTGCAAAACTGGGGTGAATTTTAGAAAAACTTTACTATTCTTAATCATTCACAAAGATTTAAAAACCCCAAGCCTTAATTTACTGCTGCCCCAGTGGATCTTAAGGTAACATGGGCTTCTCACCGTCTTGTGATTAGAACTTGACACACATTTTTGACCAAAACATTTGTATGTGAAAAATACAGATTTGGTAACACTGAAATATTCCACAAATCCGTAGATTCCATGTATTGTTTTGGTCAGTGAAAATTTTTTTAAAAACCCCCAAACAATGGAATTTAGACATTTTTTTGCAATTGAACTGTTTTGAATTTTTTCATTCAAAATGACTTTTTGTTTTGAAGTTTCCTTTAATTTAAGTTTTAAAAAATTAAAAATGTTAACTACTCAAAATCGAAATGAAACACGTTGTTTGACGCAAAACATTTTTTTTCAACTTCTCGATTGCAGAAAATATTTAATTAAAAAAAAAAATTGTTTGACCCAAAACTCATCTTTTCTTCCCTGATTGTTTGGACTTGCCAGCAAACCCAAAAATAATCCATTATTTTCCCAACTATAGTTGTGATTGTGGAAGTATGAGAAGGGTCACGTTTCTACTTCAGAGTTTGATACCTTGGTATATCAAAGTATCCAAATTTCAAGCATTTTTCAAATGACGCAAGCAGATAATCAGGCTCTCTGTTTTTTGCATCAACAGAGAGGAACAGGTTAACTCCAGTTGTATAGGAAAGCCACCTCTGCATTTGAGATTGTTCAGTCCAACATTACTGGTTGCTACTTATCCTAGCATGGAAAAAATGTGACCAGATATTTCCTTTTCTGTTGAATTCATTCTGGTGACTTTCAAGATTCTGTTAAAATAGTGATGTTACTTAAAACTCAGTATTTTTATATTTCTAATATTGTACATTATGCTGAGGGGAAAATAAAAACCTAGAGCTTGTCTAGACTACCATTTTGTCAGTATAACTTACATTGTTTAGGGGTGTGGAAAAAACACACCACTGAGCAACATAAGTTACACTGACAGAAGTGCCAGTATGGGCAGTGCTATGTCGGCGAGAGAGCTTCTTCTGCTGACATAGCTACCGTTGCTCGTGGAGGTGGTTTTACTATGTCAGTGAGAGAGCTCTCTCCCGTCGGCATATAACGGCTACATGAGTGATACTATAGCCACGCAGCTGCATCAGTACAGCTGTGCCTCTGTAAGCTCACTAGTGTAGACAAGCTCTCAGAGAGGAGTCGTCACCCACCATGGAAATGTAGTCGCCTGTGGGTTAGCACACAGCAGTTTTCTACATCAGCAATACTACACAATGGTTTTCTAAGATTGCAGGTGAAGTATAACTTCTGTAATTGAAATTACTAGGGAATTTAGGTAGGCAGATTAGTTACCCACATTGGAATTTGGCCAGGTTCTTGGAGTTAATGCCTCTGTTATTATAAAAAATGCCATGGGAACAACAATGACCACAAATGATTACATCTTAATTTAATATCTTATCCTAAAGAGAACACTTGAGTGGTCAAGAAATTAGAATTATTTTTTTGTTTGTTTTTGTGAAGTACTGTTATCTGGTATCATAGAATCATAGAATATCAGGGTTGGAAGGGACCTCAGGAGGTCATCTAGTCCAATCCCCTGCTCAAAGCAGGACCAATCCCCAGACAGAGATTTACCCCACTTCCCTAAATGCCCCCCCCCCGGATTGAACTCAGAACCCTGGGTTTTAGCAGGCCAATGCTCAAACTCCTGAGCTATCCCTCCCTGTTCCTAGATTAGTCGGTGTATGGGTATGATAGAGGTGATGCATAAAAGTGAGGGAGCAAGGTTTTACACTGGAAATATTAATTAAACCATAACAGACTGTTAGTAGGTACTACAGTAATACTTGATGGTTCAAAACATGCATGTCAATATTTCATGTTGTAGAGCAGAAGGCGGGGGGGGACATAAATCACCTTTGTTTTTTCACCTACTATATTGCTGAAGTCTTCAATTAATTGATGTATTTTAAATTTAAATCTAATAATTTTATTATAAGCCTTTCTGTGCTCTCATCATCAAGGTATCAAGACACATTTGTTTATGTACGTCTGTGACTCTTCATGTGGAGAAATGCTATCCTACCCTCCCCACCCCTCCCACCCAATACTTTGAAGCTACTTGTTCAAGTCTGCAGGTTATGTTTAGTTAAATGTGACTTTTCCCTGCAGCTACATCCTTTAGTGAATCCAAGTACTTACACTGGAACAAAGTACAACAAAAAGATGCCAGTTTTCTTAGCGAAGTCCTACCCCTGTACAGTGATCAGATGCTAGTGGATTTATTATGGTATCTAAACTGTGCTTCCTAATGACGCATACAAGCAGAGCTAATTGTTTGGTACTAACATTGCAGTTGATCCTCACTAGTAATGCAAGCCATTCTGCACCATATGTTAGGTTTTTTTCCCTACTTTTGTTCATTTTCTGACAGCTACACCCGGTACTTGACAGTGACATTTTATTCTCATCTGTCTTTTAAATTTTGTTTGGATACTGGTAACGTTCCATGTGCTAGGCTCTGGCCCCAGACATAAGAATGAACAATCTCTTACCCCTTCCTTTACTACTTGTTTCCTGCCTATTTTCCCTTCATGCAGACATTTTTTTGCTTTCAAATTATTCCTTCCCGTGCTGGTAGTTCCAATAATTTCAGCTGGTTTAATGATAGGAATAGGAGGTGTCTTTCTTTGAAAATTAGGCCTTGAACATTCTCAAAGAATCCCCGTTGTATTTTTTGTTACTGATTTTCCTTTTTTACATCTGTGTACTTGGATTTTAACTGAATGGATTTTGGGTTTTTTTGGTTATTTGCAGGGTCATTCACAGAGGTTAATTCCTCCTCACCAGCAGCAGCCTATTAGGAGTCTGTTCCAGCAGCAACAGCTACAAACGCTGCTTCCTATGCAGCATCAACACCATTCATCTCCTCCTCCAGGACTACATATGCCACCCCAGATAGAAACACCTGGAATAATGATGACTCCACCTCCAGTGACACCCCAACAACCGAAGAACATACATATAAACCCACATTTCAAAGGGACAGTAGTGACGCCTGTGCAAGGTGAGTGTTCTGAATATTGTAAGTTTTGTGTTAGTGTTTCCCTGATCCCTGCACTGGCAATGCTATCTACAGGGTCGGTTTTCTGTGGTCATTCAGTCATAACCTACACAAACTTATTTCAGGCTAAAATTCTCCTTGCTTAATCATAGAGGAAATATTTTGCCAAAGTTAGTAGTTTGTTGAAAAAACAAAGCCTCTTCCACTTCTAGCTCTTCTTTAAAATGACACTTAAGGTAAAACTTGCATTATCCTGTAATAAAGAGCAATTGAATTGCCAGCTGTAAAGAAGATATATTTAAATAGTGGACATCAGTTTTTAAGAACTGGCTAAGCATTGCAGTTTAAAATTTCACAAGTGACATACTAGCTTCAGCAAGGCACTCTCAGATCATCTACCCAACTATTTGTGTGTGAATATACTGTGACACCCCTCAAACTGCAATTATTGTGTGAAAGGTACAAGCTGCATCCATGTTATTTATGATGAATTTGACATGATATGCTCTGTCTTTTCTCAGCTCCACTGCTTTTAATGGATTATTTGATTCAAAGCCTGAGAATTAAACACTTTTTCCATAACTTATTTAATTCAAGCACCCATTGCTGGGCAACTTTTCTGAGAACTTGCAACAAGGGTGTTGAAGTTGCAACTTCTTTGGCTGTGTTGAATCTGAGACCATGTCTACACTTAACGGGGATGAACGCTGCTGTGATCGATGCAGCGGGGGTTGATTTAGCGGGTCTAGTGAAGCCCTGCTAAATCGACAGCAGAGCGCTCTCTGGTCGACTCGGTACTCCACCGGAATGAGAGGAGTAAGGTAAGTTGACGGGAGAGCATCTCCCATCGACGCACTGCTGTATAGACACCGCAGTAAGTCAACCTACTAAGTCGACTCCAGCTACATTATTCACTTAACTGGAGTAGCATAATTTAGGTCTACTTACCCCAGTAGTGTAGACAAGGCCTGAGACTAAAGAAAAGAAATACTTGTATAATTTGAAGTCTCTTTGTGACTGTAGTCAGCACTAGAAAAAGCAAATATTTTTTTACCTTCTGATCTGATAGATATTTTGTCCTCAAATGAGCAGAGGTCCTTGCCTAAAGCTAACTTTCTGCTTATCGTTCTGTCAAATAAAGGAAAGTTGGCAAGACTAGGGGCTTTGCCAATTGGGAGAAATCTCAAGTATGTTAGTCCTGTATCAGATCTGCTTCTCACAGATGGGTTTCAGAATGGCTGTTCCCTGGAGATTTTAGTTTTCCATATCTAATAAAAGCAATACTTCCCACCTAGTCAGTCAGTATACCTGCAATAGTCCAGAAGCTCCTTAGTCTTGGATGAATCCCTTTTGTTCAACCTTCTTAAGATTTCCAAAGCAACTGCTGAAGGTATTTGTTTTATGAAAAGCAAAGAATCCCATTCAGCCTGTCCCACACCTCTTCAACTAATCAATGAAAGTCTTGCATCCAGATGGACAGCCTCCCTCTTCTAATTCCAGCAAACATCATTTGGGGATTTTTGCTCTGTCTGACCTCAAAAAGCATACCAGCACTTCCTCCATCTACCCTTTTATTGCTTTCTTCTTTATATCAGTGATTACAGATACTGTCAGTATGTTGCTCACACTGGACCTTGCCACAGCACCCATAGTATTTTCTAAAATCTTGGTCATGCCAGTGGTACCTCTTCATCTCAAATATGGCTTTTGTTGTCTTGATTTGTTGATCAAAATATCGCCTTTCAACAACTTCTTGTAAGCTCTGCGAATTCAAAGTTCAAAATGAATTTGTAATCTCTTTTCAAAAATTCATCTCTGCTCAAGATCTCTTGTGTGGGAGCTCATTTTTTTAGCCAGTGAAGGGTCTAGCTCTATTCCCAGGAGATAGGCACCTGAAGAATGAGTCTTGTAACCTTTACATATTAGAATATCAACTTGACAAAGTTTTTGCCTTCTAGGTCTCATGATTTGTGTTGACACAGTTCATTGATCTCTTCTTCATCTGAAACTCCAGCAAATCTTCCTTTTTTTCCTGAACTGACCATCAATAAGACAATTTAACACTTGTGTTAGTGGACATGCGGAAAACTGCTAAATACAGTCCTCTATGTAGACCAAAATAATAGATTCTAGCTTGTTTGGTTGGAAATCCTGGTCTGTTGAGATGGCTTTAACTCAAATCCAGCTATTCATCATTCTCTCAGATTGTAGCAGTAGATTTACTGTCACTTGAATGCCTACAAAGTGTATACTTATGGAAGATGACAATAGGACGTCAGTAGTGTAAATCTTGAAGGGGGGAGACAAAGGATGATACTCCTCAATGAAGAAAAATACAGTTTTAGTAACACATATCCAGCACAATTAGTTGTTCAAGCGGACTGACTGAGTCACCATTCCTTTAGCTCAGGTAAGTGGGAGACAGAGACCCAAATATTAAAGGAAATTTAGACCTATTTTCCCAAAATAGGTGTTTGTATTGGCCATCAATAAAACAAAATATTCCTTATGCTCAGTTTCTGATATCTCTGTATGGTACCACAATAGCAAAAGACTGGTCAGTTGACAACTTCAGCATGCGGTGAATGGGTCTTTGACTGTATGACTACCTCACAACTTAATATTGGCATCACAAATAACTATCCCACCAAGGATTTTAGGGCCACCAAAGTTCAGAAGTGAGCTACCAAACTGTCTCTTAGTAACTTACTAAATTGCTATGCGGTGACTCAATTTTATCCTTTAAAACTAACTTTAAATTAAAGCAATTTTCTGGTTTGTCAGAAAAAAATACTATTAAAAAAATCCTTTAAAACATGAGACAGGGATGGTTTCTGCTGTCTCTTTAAATATTTCCTGGTCATTTACCATCAGATTATATTTACTTCCATTCTTATTTAAAATCCTGTCCAACACTGTGCTGTTTTAAAATGTTATACCACCAGTTCTTCCACTTCTATCATTAAAAATTTGTGCATTAATTTGATGTTTCGAAAAGAGTGCTGGTTTGAGCCATCTTTGCTGCCTCAGCAGAGAGGCCAAGGATTGAAAGGATTTGAACTATCATCTTTCACGAGCATTAAATTCATTTGTGTGTTTAAAAAAAAGGGGGGGGGGCACTGCCAGAGGCACTATACCAAAACAGATAATGACAGTTGAACAGAATGCTGGCCTATTTTTTGTGTGTTCCTTCCTATACAGCTTTTTTTATTGCATATAGGCCCTGACCTGTAACACGTAAGCTATTTTAGTCATGGTTCTGTCAAACTCCCTATCTTTCCAAATTGGATGATGATTGTATGATACTGACAGGTGTTCAGGAAGAACTAAGATGAGACCATCAAACTGATTTTCACCTGTAACCTAATACAGAGGTTGAACGCAATCTTCCAAAGGTGAAAAGTTAGTGCATTTAGCCCAGTATGTCAATATATAAAATAGTAAAACAGAAATATGCAACAGAAGTGTATGGAAGTTAGACATAGGTGTGAGCTAAGAAAAGTTACTAATGCATTAGTTCTTGTATCTTACTCACTTTATAAGAAGTGAAGTTTGAGAAATCTTTGATAGGAGTTGGATTCCCCAATATGGAATTTGCTAATTCAGTGATGAAGTGTCAAGTGCTACTAATTGCTGTGAATACCACTAAGAATTTATGTATGCAGTGTAGTTGTAGCCCAGTTGGTCCCTGGGTATTAGATACAAGGCCGGTGAGGTAATACTTTCTTTGGATGACTTTTCTTCTAATGTTAATTTCTCCTGTTCAGAAACGTAGTATAGTGGCCTCCATCTAAAGTCAGTATTTGATAACTGACCATTAGAGATGTATGGGAAATAATTTCTCCATCCTGGGAAAATTTTGGAAAGGTCATCCCAAATTAGGATAAAATTTCTCATTTCACAGACTTGCAATCAGAAAGAAAAAATTGTTTTGGGTCAGTCAAAATGTGTTTTATTTTGATAGTTTCAAAATGCTTCATTTTAATTTCAACCTCTATATATATATATATTTTTTTTTCTAAAATTAGCTCACATTTTGAAGTGGAAAAATGGAAATTTTCATGTAGAAAATGTCCAAATGGAATGTTCCAACAATTTCAAAACTTTTTTCCAAAACTTTTTTGAAGCAGCAAATTTGTTCAAACCAACCCTGTTGAGATAAATCTGCATTTTCCAATGGAAAAAAATATTTTCTGGAATGTTTCCCAACCAGCTCTAGTTACTACATCAGTTGAGATGTTCTCTTGTGCACCATATAGGCAAGAACTTTGGTAATTGTGTGTATTGTGGTTTTGTTAATAACAAGAAGCTCGTTAATATAGAGAAGTGCTGATCCACTGCTGAAGTTTTGAAATTCAGTTTTTAACAGCTTTCTGTTTTTGAGGCAGGGGATCCTTTGCCTGCTGCAGGCTTTTATAGAAAAGTTATTTTTCATTTGAGATATTACACTGATTCTGTGAATATCACAAATCGAGTGTGACCCTTCTCAACCTGCAAGGTGTTTAAGGAAAGAACCTTGTGTGTGTGGAATGTCCCATTCAGTAATGTTAATAGGAGACATCAGAGCATAATTCTGAACTTCTTACCCTCTCCCTCCCATTTTAGGTTCTCTGTAGTCATTCCGGCTCCTGATCCGCTGTGATGCCTTAGCATGTATAGCGTTAGGATACTATAAAGATGCACTGAAGCGTGGAGTCTGTCGGGGGTCACAGTGACAATCTAGGGCCTTGGCTACACTGGCAATTCACAGCGCTGCACTTGCTGCGCTCAGGGGTGTGAAAAAACACACACACCCCTGAGCGCAGCGAGTGCAGTGCTGTAAAGCGCCAGTGTAATCAGCGCCTGCAGCGCTGCACGCTCTCTCACAGCGCTGCAAGCTATTCTCCTCGGAGAGGTGGAGTACTTGCAGTGCTGCGAGAGAGCTCTGGTGGCGCGACTACACTTGCGCTTCACAGCGCTGCCGTGGCAGCGCTGTGAATCCGCGAGTGTAACCAAGGCCTAAAAGGGTCAGAGGGAGAAGAATCTAGGATGTATATGTTGAATTCCCTCTTTTTTGCATTTGCAGCATTGTTTAAATGCTGTATGGTTATGTCATTTAGATCCACCTTTACAGGCCTAAAAGAGTGTACTGCCTTCAGTTTGGCCATATGTAGTTTTTTTCCCCCTCTGTCAACAGGGTGTTTAATTCTGGAAAATTCAGGATTGCATTATCTAAATTATGCTAGGAGAATATTAATTGCCTGTTGAATGTTGGAAACAAAACTTGTCTCCTCTCAGCTAATTTTAGGGACTGTGGAGCACATGCTTAGTTCTTAAAGGTAAACATAACCAGCCGTGATTAAGATCTGCTACGTGACTACTTTTGGAGAGAAAGTCAACAACTGTTAGGTAAAATAAATTGTATTAAAAGGTGTTTCTTGTTTCAGTGCCCTTGTTGCCAGTCCCAACCCAGCCAAGACCTGCTGTAGGACCCCAGAGATTTCCTGTGAGTAGCAGCTGCTTCTTCTTCTGTGATATGGATAAGCATACATTTGCAAAGAAATATTAATATAGCAAATAAAAGCTGTTCCAATGAAATATAGTTTTAAGGATTTGTAAATATTGACAGGAATCTCCGCAGTTGAAAATGTTTGTTAAAAGCTTAAGGTCAATGGATTTTTGAGAGCAGAATTAATTCTATTTAACTGTAAAATTGTTGAACCGGTCTCTCCAAAGGGAGAGGTACAAATGCATCTTGTCTTAGAGAACTTTTTTTCATTTAACTACTGGCATCCTTTAAAAAGGCTGTTGGGGGCGGGATCTCTCCGGCTAAAAAGCTCCATATTTTTATTTTTAGTCTAAAATCAGTGCCTTATTTTCTGCTTGGTTTAAGCATTTAAAAGGTTTCATTATTTTTTATATCAAAAATGGATTTGGCATTGAATGATCGATCCTTCCCTTCTTGCTTATCTTTGGCTTCCAAAACATACTAGCCATCTTTTAGCTCTTTCTCTAAACTAATCTGACCGCCTGACTTATTCTGAGTGGACGAAGTGTGCAAAATCACTTGTTCATAGTTTTCCAATTTGTGGTAGTTTTCATCTTAATCTATTGTGTTGTATCATTTTAATTACTTACAACTGTTCACATAGAGTATCAAATCATTTAAATGAGTAATTTTTGTGTAATGTTGCCTTCATTTGCCAAAACTTGGAGACCCACTCATGCTTTTCTTGTACTTGAAGTTGTACATGGGAAAGCTAAACTTTGGTAATATATGGAATCTGGAAGGGGGAAGTAAATGTTCATGTATCAAAATATACTAATATACAGCGTTCATCTGTATAGAAATCAGTTGTAGCTGGAAAAGGCAGATCACAAAAAATTGTGCTGGTTTTGTGATTTCCATATGCATATAGTATGAGGATTATTTCTGTGCAGAATATTTCCTCTCAAAGATCCTTATCCATTCAATTACTTATGCTTGTTCATTTTGTACAGTTACTGATAGTCATATTCATTACCGTAGAATCTGTTTTATGAAGTATAAAAAATGTTAAACAACCTAAAACAAACTCTAACTTTACAAAGTCTGGTTATCATTTTACCCAATTTTGTCATACTTCTGTGAAATTTCTATACTCCAGGTTACCACAATTTGACTGTGGTGTAACTAGAGGAAATACTTTTATCTGAGCAAGTCAGAGTGCAAAACATAGAAATCTTCCTAGCATTTAAAAATGTTAATTTTAATTGTTTTGTGAAAATTGGAATTGTTGTATCCCCGAATCTTGCACTTTGTTTTCCTGTGATATATATTTTAATTGATCTGCTAGTGAGCAAATTTTGAAATGAAAAGAAATCGGAGGAAGAAAGAATGTATAAATCTGTTGTATTTGACATCCTTGAAAATGTGTTTACACCAACATATTAAAATTTCTTTAAATAGGTTGTACAATTAGAATTTTTAAAATATTTTTTCCTATTTGCAGTAGACAAATACTAACTAACATACATATAGCAAAATAATTTATATACAGCACAACTTTTAAATGGAATAAAATAACAAAGATTCAGCTTACTTTTGATATAGAATTGTATTCCTCTTCTGGATAGGAATATTTTTCTCTTCTTCCCTAGAAGTTTCCCTAGAGAAAATGGGGCATCTTTCTTATGTAAGCATGACACTGATACTTGCTGTAATATTAAGTAGCTGATATTCAGAGCTAAGAAAATTCTTTTGGTTAGAGTCTCTTTCCATTAAGTGGAGAGGCAGTGCATTGTAGTAGACAGAGCACTGGACTGAGATTCAAGAGACCTGGGTTCTATTCCCGGCTCTGCCACTGGCCTGCTGGGTAAGACTTGGGTAAGTGACTTCCATTCTCTGTGCCTCAGTTACCTGAATCTGTAAAATAGGGCTAATGATACTGACCTCCCTTCTAAAGTGCTTTACAACTGTTTACATAGAGTACCAAAGCCTCTAGGTAAGAGGTAGGTATGAGTAGCATTATACATATTTCACTTTTGTTTTATCAAATGTAGTATATAGCTGTTGAACTCAAGTCAAATTTACCTTCAGATTTGAAAGTTCTAGGTGTTCCATTTATCTGTTCAGCCTGTTTTCCATGAAAATAAAATATGGTGTGAAATTTGCATAATTATCAGAGGTATAACATTTTTAAAATATCTGTGTCTGGAAGAAATGCTTTTGTTATAGAGCAATTTTTTTTTGCTCTGATGCATGTTAAAATCTGCAAATATTTCTATTCTATTCTTAGTTGATGTATATTTTAACAGGTAAACCAGCAGTTAGAAAACTTTGCAAATACGGTTTAAAAAAACCTGTAAGGTTGAATAAAATGTTAGAATTCCTGTAAGTCTTTATGACTGAGAGAAAGAAGTCTTTGAACTTGATTTTTCTGCTCCTTTATAGGACCACCTAAACAAAGGACATGTGTAGTCCACAAAGCAAATCAGATTTTTTTTGAGTTTTCATTTTCAAGCTGCTTAAGTGTTTCTAAAAATTGTTTGGGACTGTAGTTGATTTTTTTTTTAGTATATGAGAACATGTAATCATTCATTTTTAAAACCTTTAGTGTTAAATTCAGCCCTTCTGTAAGAGGACACAATTGTATTGACTTCAACAAAGTTGTACCAGGGCTGTGTTTGGCACATTGAGCTTCATGTTATAAGAAATTGGTAGAAAGCATAATGCAGTGCTTACAATGATTGGAGCTGAGCAGTGATTGGAATTGAGACAATTGTTAAACAAATCACTTGCCACTAAATACAGATTTTGATACTGCATTTTCATATTCAGTTGCCAATAGTAATAAGTAAAACTTTAACATTTTCATCCCTACTTATTTATTTAAAGCTTTGTCCCTTGGGTGTTTTGGGAGGAAGTGGGGAGAAGACATAAATAGAATTACTTTTTTGGCCTTCTGCACATTCCTTCTGGTTATTTCCTAACATATGGGGTAATACAGAATCAGAGTAAAATCTTGGAATACTAAAGGAGTATATCAAGTACCTCATTGTCTAGCATTTTTCCTTTCAGTAAACAGGGACTACTTTGTTTAGTGTGCAAACAAGTCTTTATCAATAATCATATTAAACTCATTGGAAACTGAGTAGATAATGGTTCTGAAATGGGGCTGTCAGCCGAAGGCTATGGCACACTTGCACACAGGGTAAATATTAAAATTGTCGGTTCTGAAGAGTGCCTGTCATTCTATAAAAATTGCTGAAGACTCCATAGGTTTCCATTGTATTCCAGATCTTATTAGTTTGTGGCAATAAAATGTATGCAGAGATTTTAATCAGCGTGCAGTTGACACTATTTAATTCTTCCAGTTATTTTTAAATAGTCTATTTAAAAAAACAGCACATTAAGCTAAGACATTCCACTGAGCCTTCCACTAGGTCTTATGTTATCTATGTATCTTGGGCTTTAAGCAAATCAGAGCAGGGGATTGACTTTAGCTTTTGTCTCAAAGTGCCAATCATATAGTTGTCATTTAACAAATAACTAGTATCTAAAAGCCCATTCTCTCGCAGAGGTGTGGCAACTGGGCCAAATAATCCACTGTCTCCTCATACAGCCAGTGAAATTGCTGTAGAATAAAGGTGGTAATTTGTTGTCTTCTGTGATATCAGTGGTCTAGGACTCTTGGCATAGCATTGATAAATGCCCCACTTTAGCTGTACACTGCATGGATATAATTAGTAAAGTCAAAATGTCTGAGAACTTAAAAATTGGATGGTAACAGACTGCGAATCCCAGTGATGATTGAACGAAGTGATATTCTATACCAAAAGCTCTCAGGCTCATGCTTGTACCTTTTCCCATTGCTTCACACTGATTCAGCCGACATTCTAGTGATAATCTGGGATTTTATTATATAGATAGCCAGCCAAAGATCTGCTCAGATGACTCTGCCATTTTTGGCAAAACTGACTGAAGGCTTTACCCATGGAGCAATTAACTAGGCCTTCTGTATTTTTATTACTGTTTCCTGGCCATATTATTTTATATTACAGTAGTGCAGATATCCCAATCAAGGTTCAGGACCCCATTGTACAAAATGCTGTTCAAATGAATAAGACGATGACTATGCTTGCCACAGAGAACTCATAATTTAAGACAATAACAAAATGTAACAAGCAGATGGGGGACACTGTGGGGGTGAGGCAAAAGAAAGGGAGGAAAAATTAAAAGTAAAAGGGGGACATCTTTCATAAATCAATGGTTTTATTATCCCTAGGTTGCCACCAGTCCAACCTGATGGCTTAAGATCCTCCTCAGTGGCTATAAATTGGCAGAACTTCATTGAAATACTGACTTCAGTGGAGCTCCGCCAACTTACTCCAGCTGAGGAGGCTGGCCCCAAGGTCTTCATAGGTGATGACTTGGACCTTGTGCATTTGAAAACTCTGTCAGCAGCTCTCTCAAGAACCATTCTTGAACATTGTTTTTGCTATTAAAGATTCTAATTTTCCCATGGCCTGGCCACTAGGACCCAACTTAACAAGAAGCCATTTTGCAAATGGTGTTATAAACTGGGTAGTGCATAGAAAAACTGTC